CCATTAAAGGGCCACAAAAGATGTTTTTGAGTGGAATATGCATATTATCCTTCGCCACTGCAATTGCCTATCTCATCAGTGATCGTGGCTTTTTTTTCTTTTTCAAATTACACTATCATGTTATTACACGCTTATGTTACCTATTTATCATTGTTATGTGTCTTGTAGCTTCCTTGTTGTCATTTTATTTATAAGCTGTTATTTATATGTTGTTATTTATTCTTTGCCACTCTATTATTGTTATTGCATATTACCATGTTAAATTAATCTGTTGCCAAAGTCAATTCTTGTATCTGCATAAGTACCTGATAAACTTTCACCTCATTGTTCTTGTTCTTGTTGATTCTCGTTATGTTTGTTGTTGTTATTCTTGTTGTTATTGTATAATGCTATTTTTTCCAATCTTTTTGTTATTGGTATTATATTGTCATGCAAAACAGTGCAATCTGCCATTGTATATCATTGTAATAATGGTGTTTCCGTATGAAATAAATAAATAAATAAATAAGTACATTCTGGAATTTGCTGCCAGAGCCGGACTCGTTGTCGTCAACGAGGGTAACACGCCAACTTTCCGCCGCCCTGGGATCTCACCCTGGGACGATCCCAGACATCAGGGCCGGGGATAGTAGCTAAGCTCCCCGGCCCTGCCCAGACATTACCCTTGCATCGGAGTCCCTTTTGCCAAGGATCAGGTCCTAGAGAGTCCTGGAGGATTACACGGCCAGTGACCACCAGTACACAATTTTTGACGTCCTGGATGGACATCAGAGACAAGTGGCCGCGTTTCGTCAAGTGTCCGTTCGATGGAACATTTAAAAAAACTGGACGTGGCAAAATTCAATAGAGCCATCCTACGAAGAACGCCGGTGGTTCATCCCGCAACTGGCGTGGCTCACGCAGAGGCGTCAGTTGCATCAACGATGGAACTGATTGTCTCGGACTGCGATGAGTCTATGCCTCGCAGGAGATACCGGTGCAATAAGCGTCCTGTGTACTGGTGGACTGCCGAGATTGCGGAATTGCGTCGAGCAGCAATGAGAGCCAGAAGACTTGATACCAGGGCTAGTGAACCCCTAGAAAGACGGCGTAAGTCGGATGCTTATAGGGTTGCTAGGAGGTCTTTTCGTCGAGCCATCAATCGGAGTAAACGCAGTTGCTGGGATAAATTAAGGGACGATGTTGATTCCAACCCGTGGGGCCTGGGTAACTTGTAACCAAGAAACTTGGAACCCGCTCTCCACCTTCCGTCATGGACGGGGTAACTATGGAGAGGATAGTCGAGTCTATTTTCCCGGCTCAAGCGTTGCGCCCACTGCGGGATTTAGGAAAGGTGGACGACGTCGCACTTTTCAGCCCTGAAGATCTGGGGGTGGCCGTCATATTTCTGAAGAACAACAATGCTCCTGGTCCCGATGGGGTACCCGGTGAAGTCCTCAAGAAGGTTTAGACTACCAACCCATTGATCCTATTGAGCATGTACAACGCCTGCCTGGTCGAAGGGGTTTTCCCCTTGTGCTGGAAGACAGCTAGGCTTGTGCTTGTTGGGAAGGGCAAGTGGCACCAGATCTGCCATCCTCTTACAGACCTCTGTGTATGTTGGATACGGCTGGCAAAGTCCTCCTGGAATTGATCCGTTCCCGGCTGAATTCAGCCGTTGTCGCTGCGGGGGACCTCTCCCCTCGCCAGTATGGATTCAGGATGGGGCGATCAACGAATGATGCGATTGAGGAGGTGAAGCAAGCTGTGATGAGAGCTGAGGATTTTAACCACTACTCTCGTAGGGTTGTGCTGCTCGTAACGCTCGATGTGCGAAATGCATTTAATTCCGCGAGGTAGTGCGATATGCTGGACGCTCTGGAGAACACCTTCCACGTGTCGGCATACCTCATGCGCATCATAAAGGATTATCTCCGGTTCTGCCTCCTCACGTATGACACTACGGAGGGCCCGCGGACGATGAGTTTCACTTCTGGTGCTGCCCAAGGTTCAATACTCGGCCCAGACCTCTGGAATGTCGCTTATGAAGCCTTCTGAGGACTGAAATACCTTAGGAAACTATTTTGGTTGGGTACGCAGACGACGTTGCAGCTTTGATAGCTTTGATAGCGTTGAACTGGCTCAGCTAAAGCTAAACCGAGCTATGCTTACCATATACGCATGGATGGAAGACCACAGTCTCTCGCTTGTTTTGAGCAAAACCGAGATCGTGATTTTGACAAAAAACGAATTGACACCATCGTGCCGTTGAGGGTGGGAGCCGTCGAGGTTCAAACCGTTTGTTCTGCCAAGTATCTTGGGGTCATGGTAGACAGCAAGCTTAGCTGGCGAGATGAGATCTTCTGTACAGTGGGTTAGGCTGCTAGGGTGGTTTATTCTCTTAGCCGGTTGATGGCCAATGTCGGAGGGCCTCGGTCCACTCGTAGAAGGCTGTTAATGTCTTTGGTCCAGTCCGTACTCTTGTACGGTGTGGAGGTGTGGGCAGACGCACTAAATAAGGAGGCATGCAGGATGCGGCTCACCCGAGTGCAGCGTTAGGCAGCACTGAGGGTAGCATCTGCCTACCAAACAGTGTCCGAGCCCGCCGTCCTGGTGGTTGCTGGAGTCATCCCCGTCAAACTTTTGGCGGCAGAGAAAGACAATTTACTGGCGCCGTGGGGAGGACCAGGCATGAACAGAGAAACGCACCCGCACCTACCAGCTGTGGCAGGAGAGCTGGAAACTGGAGACTCGGTCGGGGACGCTGGGCAAGGCGACTGATACAGCAAGTCTAACCTTGGGTTAATCGGCGGTGCGGAGAGGTGAACTTCTACCTCACCCTATTTCTGACGGGCACGGCTTTTTCCGGTCGTATCTGTTTAGGATGGGCAAAGCCGTGTCACCCGATTGCATATACTACCCAGGCATTCTCGATGACGTGGAAAATACCTTTTTCCACTGCCAGCGTTGAGAAAGGCCCCGCCTGAAGGCTCAACAGTTAGCAGGGCTGCTGTCGGTGGACACGGTCATACCGATGATGACGGAGGGTGAGGACAATTGGACCTGTGTGTCACATTACATCCAGCGTATTCTCCGCGCCAATAAGCTTGACCTTGACCGGGATGTGGTGTAGATCATAAAGAATCTAAATGCCAGAAACTGTGCTAGCCCCGAGGGCTTAGGTCACATGTTGGCCTGACTTTAAGTAATGTGACAAACAATTCCAGGTCTGTGTCCAACAGAGTAGAGGGGCTTTTTTAGTGAGTAGTCTGATCATTTCAGGAGTCTCACACTACAGGCTAGGCTGGCTACCTGTGTGCGTAAAAGAATTTTCCCTCCTCTCTCTAAAAAAAATCTTAAAATATTGTAGCAATACTTTTTAAACAAAAGCAGGTCAAATTCTTTTTTAACTCTTATTTTTGGTGAATTTCCCATATAGGGAATTAACTACTACCGTAGTACTGTACTTTGTTTTGAGGTCCCTAGAGCCCAAAAACACCATCCGTTCGAATTCACTTAAATATATGTCCGTTAGCACGATAACTCGAGCAAATATTATCCGATTATGATGACATTTGGTACAAAAGTGTAAACCCACATATATTCAACCGAACCAGCATGATCGGACTATGGGAACGGTGGTTTATGGGAGAATAATTGGTGTTCCCATTTTGACCCTAAAAACATAAAATTTTGCAGTTTCATTCCAAACCATTTTGTAGAGCTCAAAAAAATTAATAATTTAGTATAGTGAAGCGTTCTTATGTGACGGAGAAAATAACAAAAATTGTAAATATAAAATTCTCATGTTATTCTTATGGAGAATAAGTTAACTGTTATTTGCTTGTTTATGAGCATATTTTGATCACATTTGGAAAATAAATTTATTTCATACTAAACTATTAAAAAAACTTTTTTACCGTCCCCGTTGCAGCAAACCTACTAATGCTATTAAAATAGGGAATAAATCTGAACTTTTTAAGGAGTTATTTATATTGTTTAAATCCAATCAGGGCAATGGAAATTCTGTAAGTCTGTAGGTTTGCTGTGGCGGGGGTATTATTTTTAATGTAACGGAATATATAATACAATATAATGTTAAATACCCCCGCCGCAGAAAACCTGCAGACTAAGCGAATTTCAACTTGTCTAATTACATTTTACTAAAATACTGTCCATAAATAATACATATTTATTCCCAATTTACATAACATTAGATTTAACGAGTGCTTAGTTTTGCTAATACGGGGAAGGTAAAAAATGTTTTTTTGGCCATACGTCAATAGTAAAGGATGAAATAAATAAATTTGCCTAATTTTTTAACATATATCCATAAACAGCATGTAAACTACAATAGTTTTCATTTTCTCCATAAGAATAACATGGGAATTTTAAATTACACTTTTTTTGAATTTTCTCCATGGCCGTTAGGCATACAACAGCGCTTCAATATACTAAATTATTTATTTTTCTAGGCTCTATAAAACTAAAATAATAATAATAAAAATAATTAAAATAATAATTAAAATAATTAATAATTAATTAATAGGACAAAGAAATTGATTTTTTATTTTTAGGTTTAAAAATGGGAAACTCCCATTATTACCCAAAAACCCCTGTTCCCATGGTCCAATTATGCTGGTTCGCGAACTCGTTCGAATACACGTAGGTTTACTCGTTTGTACCAAATTTAATCAAAATCGGATCATTTTTGCTCGAGTTATCGCGCTAACGGACACACACACACATATATAATATATGAATTTGAATAGATGGTGTTTTTGGCCTCTGGGGACCTAAAAACAAAAAAGTAAATTGGTCCCAGGTCTATGCCTTACCATGAGACCCTGGTAATAGCTTATTCTCTATGTTGGGAACTTGCTAAAACAGTTTACAAATAGTCAATTATCACTAATGTCCTTTCTATCTGGAATATAAAGTTTGTTAATTTTTTAACAGTTTTACTACGAAAACCAGACTGATGTTAAGGAATTATGAAAGTATGTTATAACATTCAACGTTCACGCCTTTGTTTTCATGCCTCGCGCCCGCCGCCCGTTGCCCGCAGACCCGCCACCCGCCACCTGCCGCCCGTTGCCCGCTGACCCGCCACCCGCCACCTGCCGCCCGTTGCCCGCTGACCCGCCACCCGCCACCTGCCGCCCGTTGCCCGCTGACCCGCCACCCGCCACCTGCCGCCCGTTGCCCGCTGACCCGCCACCCGCCACCTGCCGCCCGTTACCTGCCGCGACCAAGCGCCCCTCAACGGCGGGCGCCCCTTGGCACGTGCCTAGTGTGCCTCTTGGTTTGCCGCCACTGAATCCCTATTTATATTGTTAATTTAAACCTGGTTACTGTTATTTAGACAGTTTTAAAAACATTTCAATTGACTATCATTATTAGTGCTAACAAGTACGACGTGAATAATAAACATTCATTTAGAAGCCAGAAAAGAAACCAGAAATAAAGAAAGCAAAAAGAAAAATCATTTGTGTCCTAAATGAAAAATGGCTTTAATACAAAAAATAACGTTTTACTAAGTTGTAGAATATGCCTACGGTTATCTGTAAATATCAACCTATGCTCTTAAGATTTCCTTCTGACTCCTTGCGGGATGTCCCCATTATGTGACAGAAAACTGACAGTCTTTAAAACGTTGTTTTTAGGTGTGGTGTTTATGTACCAAATCTTATTGATTTATCTATTGCCGTTTTGAAAATATTAAGCCCATGCGGGACTTTATAAATACACCCTGTATATGTGACCGTGAGCGCGGTAACTCGGGCAACAACGCTGCGAGTTTGATGAGATTTGTTACAAACGTGTAAGCCTAAGTTTATTAGAACGAGTTCGTGAACCAGCATAATCGGACTATGGGAACGGGTGTGTCTGAATTGCGAACACCTCCAAAATGCTGGAGACTGAACATAAGTCGCCAAGATTGCGCACAAATATTCGGAATCGGGGAAAATGGATGAGTCACTGTTTCTTGTAATTTATGGAAGATTTAATACAATTGTTTTATATGTAATGTTTTAAGACTTGACTTGGCATGTACAAAAACGCAAAGAGTGGAAAAGTAAACGGATAAGCAAGAATTCATATGGGTGGGTTTCATCGATTTCCACTAGAGTGTGCAATTAATTGTGATATATTATATTTTTAAACGTGACAGAGTTTTTTTTTCATTTCAGGATTCTGAATCAACCACTTTCGCGATTTTGTGATTTTTGTGTTGAAATAAATATAATTTTCTAAGGAAGGGAATGTCAATGCCATGATTTCATTTTTTAAAGTTTAATTTTTTTAGTCTAGCAGCCGACGCTAATAATTTAAAGTCGTTTCATTGCTGTTTTAACTAACAGCTGGTTTCAAACTGTCATTGACGTTTTTATGTTACAAGTAGTTTACTTAAATATTGATCGTCGGTGTTTGCCCGCATACTGTTTCAATTTTAAATGTTGTTTTTTCCTACCGTAACGGATCTTCGTATTCAGGAAATCTGTAGATTTGATTTGAACTATACATCTCTAATACTTCTACCCTTGGGTAAAATCAAGATTTGTCTGAAATCAAATCTGTGTAAGTAGGCCTATAAGTTTATGCCATGAAAGTTATGTCATGTTTGTAGAATGTGTGTAGTCTATATCGATATACCAAAATTTCGAGGGTTATAAAAATGTGAACCGGTGTAGCAGGTCTCTAGAAAACACTGGGGAAAATCCCCTACAATATTTTGAGCTGATTTTATTGTTAGTGCAACTTCAGAGTATACTTTTTACAAATTACATTAACATTTTCAAAATCTGTTTAAAACTCAATGAGGCGTTCTGTTCACAAATTAACCCCTTCCAAATTAATTAAGTACATAGGCTAGATAACACTGATAAATTATGAATTATATTAATGTACGAATTATGGTAAAAAGATGAAACTGACTTTAGTAAATAACTAACTAAACTTTTCCTTGACTTTGTTAAACAAACGTATTTGGCTCAGGTATTCTTGGGAGGGATACCTAAAGTGGGGAAGTCTAAGCTATTTTACAAAAAAATACTTCCCGCTATAAATACAGTTGTACTCTACGAATTAATAGTCTGCAAATTACAGACGAATTCCATAAATCAATACTCTGAGAATAGTGGATACTATACTTAGGATTATGTTCTCTTGCAAACTTTTAAGTTATACGTATTAATATTCTGCGAACTACAGGTAGATTTAAATGTGTAACTTTCAAAACAATGGGCGACCGTTCATGGAATAACTGTACTACTTCAATGTCAATTTAGTTATTTAATATCAGCAGTGTGAAATCATGAAATAAAGTGAATGTGACACTGTTGCTTGCTTCTCTGTCAACGCAAACGTAAACAGTGTTGAGCCGAAGAAACTAACCAATATTTACTTTCTAAATTCTTTTTACGGGAAAGAGTCCTTCACCAATATCAAATCAGGAATATTCTCAATGCATTTATTTTACCATAAAATCCAGACAATTATATAAATGTATAAAAATTATATACGTCATTTATTGCTCAATGTTTACAATTTAAGAATTAGGAAATGTGAAAATATGTTTGTCAAGTGTGTACTGACTGTATTATGATGTTGAGTGGTTGAAGCATGCTCATATTAATACGAGTTGATTCCTTACTTAATTGTCACTATTACTATAAACATTTTATTTCATTTCCACGTGTTTCAAATACATTTTATACGTTGACGGAAAAAAACTATATGTAATTTATACATCATTTGATGTATAAAAATTAAGGGGAAATGTCTAGAGAAAGCACAATATCAAAGTGTTAATTTGTATTTATCTTAATATCCACAACATTTGCGTAATAATACCAAATCCTTCCCATTCTTGCGAGTTCAGTCGAGCGGTGGTAATATGGGACAGTCTCTACCCTTGTGAACAATAGCTGGCTCAAGTCACGAGCCCAAGCCCTACAGCAGGTATACCGGGGGAGATCTTGGCAGGGGGGACCTTTCCGGGGTGTGCATTTTGAAAACGATCGGGGCTAACGTATCCGGTTAACATCAATTCTAATTAGAAAATCTGGAAATTGTATATGATAAGTGAATATAATTATCTAATTAATACGCAAATTAAAAAATAACTCGTCATATCGACGAGTGCATGCTGCAACTGAAGTTGAGTGTCCGCGGCCGGAAACATCACCCCCCGGTCTCTGACGTCAATATGACGTAGGGGGGTGATGTTTCCGGGGGCGACTTTTCCGCGTCCCCAAAAATAGTTTTCCATTTTGTGGTCACATATTAATAAAATCCCGAGAACATGTGAGCCAGGTTGATCACTCAGAGTGGCGAGCCAGGCCGATTTTATTGTTTCTTATTGAATTATATGTTGTTAATTCGATTTTTGTTGTACTTTATTTGCTCTATTGGGCTGTATTGTCCCATGCCATATTTATCTTTCGGTCTGATTTATTTCAATACGTGTTTTTGCATTAAATAGTAACTGTTGTTGTTTGGAATATTTCCTAATTGTCTTATTAAATTACATTTAATCCTATTTTGCAATTTTTGTATTAACTTATAATTATTTCCATTTGTATTATTTTGTTATTTCGTAGCCTATTATTTGATTTGATTTTTTCTGGTACTTTATTTCCTGTATTGAATTGTCCCATATTGTATGTGTATATACTGTCTTAATTAATAACTTGTAATTTTTGGACAGATTTATTTTTATACGGATTTTTGTATTGAACTGTGTTTTTTTAATAATTTATACATTTCTTATTTAATCGCAATTTGTTTATTGTATTAGGCCTATCTAGCAATTTTTTAAACTAACATGACTTGTGATTTAAGAAGAATCTGTCTCTTAATATAAAAGTGGCTAGGTCAACAACTCTTCGTGAAGATCTAAAACTCGACATCTGCAAACAATCAAGAACTGTTGATGTTCTATGAGCATGGAACCTATTCATTCAAAATAGTGAGGTATTCTAGGAATCGAAACCTGACCGCAAAATCCAAAACCTTCCCTTCTAGAGCCTCCTCACCTCCACACTTAACCGGTAAATGGACTGACCGCAAAATGGAAGACACCGATAAGATTAAAGATATTTTATAAAAATGGAATCGTGTAAAACAAATACTAGGGTTTGAGCGACTACCGATCAAAAATATTAAATTACATTTAGTTCTGTTATTTTTAAGAGGGCTATGTGGCTATGATTATTTCTAAATCAATTATGACTATTTCACTATTGTTGGCAGTTTGCATCTTTTTCTCATACCAAGCTGACATCTAAGCAAGCAAAACCGAGACCTAATCAAATTTCAGCCAGTGAGCCAGTTGCAGTTCCAGTTCCACCTAAAACCAAACCCAATCCAGTCCAATTGTTCCCAAATCTTTTGGAGTTCGGAATAACATTTGCATTGAACATTTTCGGTTTTCGGTCAGCGTCGTTAACAGCGTGTTTACCTGATCCTAGAAATTCTAACTGCGAGAAAATGGAAAAGGTAAGTAAAGTTATTATCAAATAAATGTATATAGGCCTAACTTACATATTGTTCACATCATAGTTGATTACAATAATATAAGTGGTTTTTCAGCGTTAAAAAATGTCGGCCCATACTAGCACATTACGATGGTGATGGTGGCCATTCTAGGCGTCACGGCGAATGCGCGTATTAACTTACGCTCGTTGGCACTGGTAGGGCTAGCCAGAGCCTACTAAAGTAATAACTTACTTAAGTAGTTAATAGCTTACTTAAAATATTAAGGCCTTTTAAATTACTAGGCCTAGGCCTACTACTAATTTAGTCTTGCCTAGTTGGGCCTAGGTCTAACTTACTTTAATGGTAGGCCTACACTTAAGTGGTGGAATAGGCCTACTAGTTCAGCAGAGAACCTAATAGGCCTATACTATCGGTTGAATAACAATAAATAAGTTTATCGATGTATATCCGTTTCAACAATTTACAGGGTGTCCACCGACCGGGAAAACCGGGAATTATGCGTGAATTGTTGGAACCGGGAATTATGCGTGAATTTTGTCTCGACGTTCTGTACCCACGAGCACCTCAGCTTCCCACGAGCCTCAGTACAGAAGGCTTTGGAACAGTTCCTTAGATAATAGCTATTTGTGTAATAGCTTCACTGTATATCTTTATTGGACCTGGTTAGATAGCAGTTGCGAACTGTGCATTGTGATTACTGATTTTGTAAAGGTGTTTATTCTATACTGTTTGTTTACTTTTGACTTGAGCTTTGAGCTGCTTGAAAAGGTGTTTTATGATTATGAAAATTAAAGTGCTGTGAGTGTAATGAAGCTGATTTGTTAGGTATTGACAATTAAATGTTTTCCGTGCATGAATTATTGATGAAGTTTTAAATGTTCACTTAACCTATATTTTTGGGATTACTTAAGAGTGATTGTTAATTAGATTAGGTTGAGTTCTGTTTGTGTGTGAATTTATTTATTAGATTGCAGTTTTGGTAGGGGTAGGTCTAGGTTTTTTTTAAGTTAGTTGGGCCTTTCAGTTGAGTTTAGGTCTAAGTTTAAGTTATTGCCTTTGAAAAAGTTAAATTAATAACTTATCTACTTATAAGAGTAGGCCTAAGTTAGGCTCTAAATGTCAACTGGAATGTGTAAAATTCTACGCAAACATTATTATTATTATATTTTAATTTTTCAACTAACTTAAAATCTACCTAGACCTACCACTACCAAAACTGCAATCTAACAAATTCACACACAAACACATCTCAACCCAACCTATTAACAATCACTCTTTCTTGAGGAATCTGAAAAATATAGGTTAAGTGAACATTTAAAACTTCATAAATAATTCATGCACGCAAAACATTTATATAAAAAAAATCAGCTTTATTACACTCACAGCACTTTAATTTTCATAATCATAAAACACCTTTTCAAGCAGCTCAAAGCTCAAGTCAAAAGTAAACAAACAGTGAAACAGTAAAGAATAAACGCCTTAACAAAAATAACAATGCACAGTTCGCAACTAACTGTTGAAAGAAACAACTATCTAACCAGTCAAATAAAGATGTACAGTGAAGCTATTACACAAATAGCTGTTATCCTAGGAACTGTTCCAAGGCCTTCTGTGCATGTGGAAGCTGAGATGCTCGTGGGTACAGAACGTCGAGTTGAATATTGTATTTAACAGGAAATTTTTTGCCGCGATCGCGCATGACGACGATGACGTATCCGTGACCGCGGAAAACGACGATGACATTTCCGTGACCGTGGGAGACGACGATGACGTTCCCGTGACCGGGGGAGACGACAATGACGTTCCCGTGACCGTGGAAGACGGCGATGATATTTCCGTGACCGCCTGTGACGGCGATGGCGTTTCCGTGACTTCGGGAGACGAAGATGACGTTTCCGTGACCGCGTGAGACGATGATGATGTCCAAACGGCTACGGGATAGTGATTTTGCCGCGATCGCGCATGCGGACTATGACCATTGAAGACACCTCTACGTTTCCATGACCGCGGGTGACAAGACGATGTTACCGTGATCGCGGAAGATGACGATGACGTTTCTGTGACCGCGGGAGACGACGATGACGTTTTCGTGACCGTGGGAGACGATGACGACGTTTCCGTGACCGCGGGAGATGACGACGGCGTTTCCGTGACCGCGGGAGACGACGATGGCATTTCCGTGACCGCGGGAGACGATGACGACGTCTCCGTGACCGCGGGAGACGACGATGGCGTTTCCGTGATCGCGGAAGATGACGATGACGTTTCCTTGACCGCGGGAGACGACGATGACATTTCCGTGACCGCCGGAGACGACGATGGCGTTTCTGTGACCACGAGAGACGACGATGATATTTCCGTGACCGCGGAAGACGATGATGAGTTTTTCGTGACCGCGGGAGTAATATTTTTTCAACCCATAAGGGTTTATCTGTTTTTTTTTATATGTAATTAGAAAAATATTATTTTTTGAAGACCTAACAATTTAATCATTTTTACAATTTAATTGCATGAAGAAGCTACAACAATCTTTTTTTTAAGTACAACATAGTAGACAAATATTTATAATAGTTTAAATTTACTGATTTACTATACAATAACCATTCCCACAGCCCTTTGCAACATGTCCAATAGCCTATCTTATGTTATATCTTTGAATATTGATTGATTCAAAAGTCAAACGCTCTTAGTTTTAAAAGGAAAGCGGTCCAAACCCAAGGTTTTGTGTTTTCTGGGAATTGAAACCGTCCCTCCTGCATCGAAGTACGAGACAATCACTATGACGACAACACACCCAAAAATATAAAAATACATTATAAAAATATAAAATACACCTTTCAATCTCACAATCTTGTCGGAAACGAAATGTCATGGGAATTATCAAGAGGTTGAGTTATTTTGTGGATTACAAAGGTTGGACTGTATACTTGAAAAGTGATTCTTTATCTTGGACCTTGGTATAATTCGAACCACTAAGTCATGCCATTAGCTCATAGCAAATAAATTATATTTTGTGATTGGCGAGAATTGAATCTGAGACCTCAGGGCAAAAAGTGTTTGCTTACAAGACTAGCTGTTGGTATTATTCAAGGCAATTGATGATAAAGAGCATGTCAGTTTAATTATCTTACTTAGTGTACCATACTGTACATCTTCATATATCGGCATTCAGTTGTCTTTTTTACATTCTATTTTATTATAAAAAAAAAATAATAATGACTAATGTTTTGTCTAGAAAAACTCTATTCGGAAAGAAAAAAAAAAGGACGATGATGAGGATAAGCGAAAGCCACAATATGTTCCCAAAAAAGGGAAATTTTATCAGCACGATGACAGAACGATGGCTGAAGGGAGGTAAGTAAATTAAAACATTTTGTAGATAAATTTGAAGAAAACATAAAAAATTTCATGGACCTACTTTTTGTATGATGATACCGTCCTTGGACTACCCAGACCTCCCACCACCGCGCCCGGGACAACAGAATGGTATCGGAAAGGAACATGGAACATCCAAACTGCACTCGTCAAATTGTCGTTGTTATCACTGTCGTCTTCTGTCAAAACCTCAACGTCCTGTGTTTGTGTGTCGTTGTAGGGATTTAAAAATAAATGTTATTGAATTTTTTCCATAACTTAACTGAAATTTAACTCTTTCTTCCAAATTTTTTTAATTTAATAAATGGAAATAACAAGTAATGGTAAATGGTTACAATATTAGGTAATTGAATTATTGTTTAGTTTGACAGGTATATGTATTTTTTTATTACTCTATAAATAATTTATCATTAATTACATAACAATTTGTTATTTACAATAAAATAGGTACTTACAAAAATTTTATGTATTTACTATTAGCTATATAATTAATATGCCAACAGGAAGTTTGTCTTTTGAACTCCTCCGCCATTTCTTAACCGATTTTGACGATTTTCATCTCATTGAAAATTTGGAGCGTATTGCGTAGTTGTAATTTTTTTACATTACGTACAAACTTGGGCTCTGCCCCAGTGGCCTGTCCCAATGATATTGTTATTAAGAACAATTTGATTACTTATTATTTGTTCAATTGCTGTTAATATTTATTTTTGCAATTCAGTGTAAAGATTTACTGATTTGGTTTAAATTAAATATTTAGGCCTAATATTTAAATTTTTGTTTACATACATATTACAAATGAAAAACATTAGATAGCCTACACAATTTGATATAATTCACCAATTAAGAAAAATGAATTGACACAGTGCTGTTGTATTTCTTGAGCGATCCTTGAAAGAACCAAGTTTCAAACTATGGAAACATTGAAAAGTCATAGAATGCCACCAATTAGTAGAAATGGAGATAGTTTTTTTAAGGTTATTAGCCTAGGGGAGGGAGCTGGCGTAGTGGTTAGAGCGCGGGACTTCAGTCCCTGAGGTCCCGGGTTCGATCCCCGCCAAGTCACCAATGGATTTTATCTAAGTGATAATGCCGCAACCCCTAGGTCTAGCCTGAAGTAATGTGAAAAACAATTCCAGGCTCGTGTCTAGCGTCCTTAGGACAAAAAAAAAAAAAAAAAAGTTATTAGCCTATAATAAAGAATGCCCGTAAGATGATTCCTACAAACGGTGAACGAGAATATTAGCCAAAGGGCTACCATTTTTAGTAGGAAACCTCTACTGTATTAACTCTGTGATGATTGCAGCGGAAACTCCTCTTAGGCTAAGTGAAATTTGTAGAACCCGATTTAGTCCTTACTAAAAAATATGTTTTGTTTTCATCAAAGTCAAGTTGTTTTAGAAGTATATTACACACCCAAGAAACTTTTCCTTTTTTTATGAAACTTTCATAGAAGCGTTCAATTATTATTCATAGTTAAGGGAAACAAAAAAATCATCTGAACAACATCAGGCCTTTTAACTCTGCATTTTCTCAGGTTGACGTTATTACAACAACTAAGCCTTGTGGCAGACAGGTTATGCTGGAATTCAGGTAGTTCTTTAGTAATAATGGGAAAAAATTATATCGTTATTTAAGTAAAAAAATAAATAATTATTTTTAAAGATATACTGGCAACAATGACGAATATAATCATGAACAATTTATAATTCAGCTGAGTGGAAAATATTTGTAGAAAACACTTAATAAACAAAATATATCAGCCTTTGAAAAATTATAAAATAATGAGTATTTAAAATTAGTTACATAATCTTTGAGTTGACGTTTAACTCATTGGAAATTGTGACTGTTATTTGTTTTTAAATAACTCCTGAAAAAAGAAAAATTTGAAATTTTCTTGCTACTGCTGTGATCACTGTTACCCTAAATGGTACTTGGCCTCCCAACAGACTGCCTTCATACATCTCTGCATCTTGCATCCTTCTTCTTCCCAGATTTCTTATCGGTCTACCATAGGGTCTTCTTCCTTCTGGGTTGTTCTCCATCTCCAGTACTGTCTTTCGTAAAGAGATGTCTTCTTTTCTTGTGATATATCCTGCCCATCTCATACTTCTACGACTTACCTCAGTGACTCATAGTAATATTCATATTTAATAAAACCAACAAAAATGCCATTTTAAAGTACAAAATAAATTGTACTTAACAACAAATATTTTAATCAAAAGGGGGGAATCTAAACTAGGCCTACAAATATCAATAATCAATTTGATTTTGTTACTACACCTTGTGTCAAGGATTCCACAGTATAAAACTTAAACCATTTATACTTTTGGTCGCCAAGTCCACGGCAATAATTTCAACAGCACAGCTATTTTCAATACCTATCAAACTGTCTCTCCCGGCCACCTTTCTCTGCCTATCAGCTCAGCCACCTTGGTATCAGATCAGAATTATTTTGGATAGTGGAAACAAATCGTGTTTAGAAAAAAAATGCTTTTTTTTTTTGCTGCTAGGATTCAGGGTGGGAAGAAAACCGATTTGCAATTGATCTGAGCTGCTGCGCAAAAGACAGCATCCAATGCAGCTATCCATCCAACTGATTAAGACAATCTAAAAATAGTATTTTTAATTTAAAAAGGGTTTAACTTGTGTTTTGTTTAAAGACATTGTCTCGCTCTGTGATAACTTTGTTTTTCTTACTTAACTTTTCACGTTTTTCAGTGAAGTGGAAGAAAAGGAAGTTGAGAGTAACACAGATGCAGAGGAGCCAGTGGCCGAAGCTGCAGGACCCAAGAAGGCGGGGGGAAAGGTGTGGACAAAGAAAGATGAAAAGTGGGAGCACGACTTGTACGACGAGGACGATCAAAAACCAAAGTCCACACAGGAGCTAATTGACAAATATGGATATGACATCAGAAACGAGGAGGCACCACCAAAGGCTCGGCGTTGTCAGAGTTACGGGTATGTCGCTAAACTAAATGTAAATCCTGTGAAATGGGCTATAGGATAAAATATTGTTCTGTCATATTTTAAACATTTACAATGTAGTTGTGCCGACAAGTTTTTTGAGTGTTTTTTGTTTTTTTTTTTGTCATTATGTACATATATATTATGGTATACTTTGTAATTACACTTTATTTGTATAAATCCCACAGTAGCCTACAGACCTGCGTCCAATTTCACTGTAGCATAATGTAAAATTTCGTAACACATCTGCTTACTTTGTGAGACACATTGTCATAATGCCTAATTAAGTTACACACGATCTTTGATCAAACTTCTTTGTTAAATATTGTAAACTTTAACTAAGAAAGAATAATTATTCTTTGGTCCAGTGTGTATAAGTAGGTTAGGAAGGTACCATAAAGCTGGGAAAATTTGTAATTCGTTGAATATGTTGTGAATCAAAATGTTTAAAAATTGTATGTTATTGTATATATTGTATGTTTAAATATTAAAATTGACTCGTGGATAGTATTTTTTTCATATTGATATGTTCTGTACACAGACGGGGGCCAAACAAATACACAGCTCCTCAACGAACTGTGTTAAAAAACAAACAAGAAGAGAATCCTGACCTTGGCAGTCGTGGACGTAATAGGGACAAGCAAGAACACACTAATTCCGATCCTCCTAAATTGGTAAGATTAAACACATTAAACAGTAATCCATTCTAGGGATGAAAACTACCAACTACACCAACATAACAATTGATTGTATCAGCCAAGTAATTGCAGTGCTCGCTTTCAAATCCGAAGGTGCTGGTTCGGTCAAAAATGTGTTTGATTCTTGATGTAAAATTTTATTTGGCTATTGATTAAAGATGCTTACTAGAAACAGATCAACATGAAATATTAACAGGGCCAGAGTTTTGGACAATTAGTGCATATTTAATTAAATTGGGATTTTGTATTTTGTTAGAAAAGTTACGTATCATGTTAAATTTTCTCCGTGCTTATTAATATTACATATAATTATTAATGTTAATGTATACAAATATTATTGAAATAAATCATTTACACAGTAGTACAATCATGCTCTAAAATATACCTGAAAAGAGTGATCTTTTCCCGTGTGAATTTCACCTATGGCTCTGAGCAATACTAGACCTGCAGGGACAAGACTCCATTTTGATACAGCCGTGAGGATAAGAGTTGTCTCAGGATATTTTGAAAGGGTCAGTAAACCAATGATTTGAGACTTCAGTGGGATAAACCATTCTCTATTTTTGGCAGAGGTGGAATATACAATCGGTGGTTGATGCGGGGTTGGTTAGGGGAGGGACTGAAGCATTCTAGCCTGTTGTGCCAGTGTTGGTCATTCTGAAATATGAAGCGTTCATAAGCTGTAGCTGTGTGGAATTGTTTGATCATTTTTTTTTTATATGTTCATTTATATCTTTATCAGCTTAAACAATACATAAAAACATGTTTGTTCCTAGGACCAACAAAGACATGAGTCTCCCAGGGCAAAGTCTAAATCCCCTGCTCCTCGGAAGTCCACAAGCGAAGGTGGAGATAGAGACAGATCCAAGGGGGAGGAAAAGAGGATGGAGAGAGGGAGAGTAGTCAAAGACTCGCCACCTTCTAATAGCATCCCACCTCAGCCAGTGTAAGTTGTAGATCATATAACTGAAGATCCCATACTTGATTCTGTACTGTGTTTATATTTCTAGTCCTGTATAAATAATGGTTTGAGAAAATCAATGTCATTATTTTTTAAAGAATATTGAAACATGTGTATTGTTGGTAAAAGTTAAGTCCTTTAGCACGAATACATTTTTATGCTCAAAACTAGGTTTAACACTCCCTATCTGTGATTATCATAGATTTAGATTGATTATAAATGATTGTATCCTTGTATCCGCAGAGTCCTGCTCCTGTGAAATGGGCTATAGGATAAAATATTGTCATATCATATTTTAAACTTTAAAATGTAGTTGTGCCGACAAGTTTTTGGAGTGTTTTTTGTTTTGTTTTGTAACAATGTACCTATATATTATGGTATACTTTGTAATTACACTTTATTAATATAAATGCCACAGTAGCCTACAGACTGTAGCATAATGTAAATTTACCTAACACATAGGCTTACTTTGTGAGACACATGTCATAATGCCTAATTAAGTTACACACGATCTTTGATCAAACTTCTTTGTTAAATATTGTAAACTTTAACTAAGAAAGAATAATTATGCTTTGGTCCAGTGTGTATAAATAGGTTAGGTAGGTACCATAAAGCTGGGAAAATTTGTAATTAGTTGAATATGTTGTGAATCAAAATGTTTAAGAATTGTATGTTATTGTATATATTGTATGTTTAAATATTAAAATTGACTCGTGGATAGTATTTTTTTTCATATTGATATGTTCTGTACACAGACGGGGGCCAAACAAATACACAGCTCCTCAACGAACTGTGTTAAAAAACAAACAAGAAGAGAATCCTGACCTTGGCAGTCGTGGACGTAATAGGGACAAGCAACAACATACTCCCTCCGATCCTCCTAAAATGGTAAGATTAAACACATTAAACAGTAATCCATTCTAGGGATGAAAACTACCAACTACACCAACATAACAATTGATTGTATCAGCCAAGTAATTGCAGTGCTCGCTTTCAAATCCGAAGGTGCTGGTTCGGTCAAAAATGTGTTTGATTCTTGATGTAAAATTTTATTTGGCTATTGATTAAAGATGCTTACTAGAAACAGATCAACATGAAATATTAACAGGGCCAGAGTTTTGGACAATTAGTGCATATTTAATTAAATTGGGATTTTGTATTTTGTTAGAAAAGTTACGTATCATGTTAAATTTTCTCCGTGCTTATTAATATTACATATAATTATTAATGTTAATGTATACAAATATTATTGAAATAAATCATTTACACAGTAGTACAATCATGCTATAAAATATACCTGAAAAGAGTGATCTTTTCCCGTGTGAATTTCACATATGGCTCTGAGCAATACTAGACCTGCAGGGACAAGACTCCATTTTGATACAGCCGTGAGGATAAGAGTTGTCTCAGGATATTTTGAAAGGGTCAGTAAACCAATGATTTGAGACTTCAGTGGGATAAACCATTCTCTATTTTTGGCAGAGGTGGAATATACAATCGGTGGTTGATGCGGGGTTGGTTAGGGGAGGGACTGAAGCATTCTAGCCTGTTGTGCCAGTGTTGGTCATTCTGAAATATGAAGCGTTCATAAGCTGTAGCTGTGTGGAATTGTTTGATCATTTTTTTTTATATGTTCATTTATATCTTTATCAGCTTAAACAATACATCAAAACATGTTTGTTCCTAGGACCAACAAAGACATGAGTCTCCCAGGGCGAAGTCTAAATCCCCTGCTCCTCGGAAGTCCACAAGCGAAGGTGGAGATAGAGACAGATCCAAGGGGGAGGAAAAGAGGATGGAGAGAGGGAGAGTAGTCAAAGACTCGCCACCTTCTAATAGCATCCCACCTCAGCCAGTGTAAGTTGTAGATCATATAACTGAAGATCCCATACTTGATTCTGTACTGTGTTTATATTTCTAGTCCTGTATAAATAATGGTTTGAGAAAATCAATGTCATTATTCTTTAAAGAATATTGAAACATGTGTATTGTTGGTAAAAGTTAAGTCCTTTAGCACGAATACATTTTTATGCTCAAAACTAGGTTTAACACTCCCTATCTGCGATTATCATAGATTTAGATTGATTATAAATTATTGTATCCTTGTATCCGCAGAGTCCTGCTCCTGTGAAATGGGCTATAGGATAAAATATTGTCATATCATATTTTAAACTTTAAAATGTAGTTGTGCCGACAAGTTTTTGGAGTGTTTTTTGTTTTGTTTTGTAACAATGTACATATATATTTTGGTATACTTTGTAATTACACTTTATTAATATAAATGCCACAGTAGCCTACAGACTGTAGCATAATGTAAATTTACGTAACATATAGGCTGATTGTAAGTGTTTGTATCCGCAGAGTCGCTGAGAAGGTCCCCGGTGTTGTTGGCACTTCTGGGGCGAGAGTGGTGGGGAGAGGAAGGGGATTTATAGGCAAAGGCAAGCAAAGACCAACCATGGAGTTTTTTACAGCATCCCGAGGCCGAGGACCTCTTCCTCCCGCATTTAAGAAAAAACCACTCAACAATCAAAGTAAGCTTTTGCAGAAATCCACAGTCTGCATTAACTGTTTAAGTTTGCCTCGTTTTGCTGTATGCAATTTTTGTTTTGATTTTACAAACTACAGATCGACGGGATTTTATTTTTATTTGAAATGGAATTTTTCTTACGCGATATAACAAAAAACTCTAAACTTGCTTTAAAAATGTTGAGTAGGCTAGTTAAAAAATAAAAAAAATCTTGCAAATGACAATGTGACAAACACAATCCATTTTAGTTTTTTTTCACTGTTTTACTTCATCATATAATTGTATTCCACAATCAGGGATATTAGCGGCAAAATCACTGACAGGTGGAACTAATCTTGTTCTGAGAAAATCCTGAATTAAAAGTATTTTAGTCCAAAGAGCTAGTATATATTTTTTTAATTCCCTGACATATCAGGACCCGTCCGACTCTAACAAATATATTACACCATGGTAAACTGGGTTAAAATGAATTAAGACCGATTCCAATGGGAATATGTGGGCACAACACATTTTGTAATAAACAACTAGGACTACAGTGGGCTATAAGTTTTTCAGTCAAACAGCAAGGAATACATTAGACACACCAAACAACATTATGTGTCAAAACACTTTTTCCTTTAAAATAACCATATTTCCGTGGGTGATTTCTGTGTAAATATCCATAGTTTTATCGTACACTGCAACGAGCCTCCTTGTCACTTACTGGCATCATTTGTGAACAGAATGACACTATTTGCAGCTCTGTAGCTAACATGTACGCTTTGCTGTATGTTTAAAAAAATAAAAACTAATGAATCGTTTGCGAGATAAGTGTTACAATTTATGATTTTAAGAAGAAAAATATCCGATGCCAACATTCATTGCGAGATGAATATATGGGTTATTATGAAGTGTACAAATGACCATGAAATCCTTTTTCCTTCGTTGCCTCTGTGAAAAGTCTGGGTATCCACCAAAAACACAATTTCTTCCAAAAAGAATGTTTTCACACCCATTTTTATCAGGCCAACTCTCTAGCCTATTTCTGCACTTTCCCTGCTATCATTGTATCAGGGTCATAAACTTCAGTCATCTAACTATGAATGTCGGCATTGAATATGTTTCTTGTTATAAAAAAATTCATCACTAACCTTATCTTGCACGTGACAAGAGATTTGATGTACATGTCCGCAACAGAGCTGCAAAAAGTGTCATTCTGTTCACAAATTATGCCAGTAAGTAGCGAGGAACCTTGTTGCGGCGTACAATCAAACTACGGTTTTGAACGCAAAAACGGCTCTTACTAAAAAAAAACTGTCTTCATAGATTACAAATATAATCAGAGTTTAAAAATATACATTACTTCCTCAACATAATCTCACAAAGCTGAAGTAAGTTTTGAACAGCAATGGATGGACCAGATATACGAGTAACTTCTCATCCAGTCAGTGCTTTTAGTTTGTCAGAACTCTTTTATAATAGTGGGTTTGAGATTAGCGTTAATGCACAAGTAATAAACAATAATAAAATAATCTGTACCATGACTACTTGGAGATTACTTATATTATTCCGGTGCCTTTATCACACATAATCGTTGTTTTTGTATCTGTTTTCATTCCAACAATATTAGGAGAAACAATTAGTTTTGCCATTACATCGATTTATGATTATGTTAGGAATTTGTTTACATTGTCTTTGAATTGTTTGCCAGTTATGACCTTTCCAGTGGAAATGCTATGATAAACAAACATTAACTTAGAAATATCTGTGTGCTTGACAGTCGATGACAGTTTAAAGCATGCCGCTGAAATGTTGGAACAGGACTTCAGCCATAATACAAACAATATAGTCGAGGAAATCATCATACCAAGTAAGTAATTTACATTTGTGTCATGAAAGCTTGGTTTGTTAATTTTTAAGTGTTAGATTTCCTTGTTCAAATCAAGGGTGAAAAAGACCTTCGAATGTTGTGTTTTAAGTAAGGGTCATTTTTGCGTATAGCCCCTTAGTTCGCATGTAAGTTGCAACGGGGCTTTTCAATGCTTACTGGCATCATTTGTGAACAGAAGACGTGTACGCTTTGCTAGAGACCTGCAAATGGTGTCATTCTGTTCTCACATGTAAGTGGCGAGGAGCCTAGTTTCAGCGCACGTACGTGAACTATGGAGCTATACACATAAATGGCCCTTACTTAAAAAGACCCTGCTTAGCGTAAACGAAACTGCTTCCTTGTTGTTTACTTAAAAAATCTAGTAATCATTCAGCTTCTAAAATATTGGTTGAGTTAATATTTTGATTAGAAGTGATTTTTTAATTTCAAGTTTTGATTAGAAGTTTTATATTCAGACATTGGTCATGAAATGTGTAACATGTTGATATTTGTTTGGCATAGTCAAAACATAGCATAGGGCATAGGCATAGTTGATTTTATCCTGGTATTCTTGTTAGGATAACTTCTTAATGGCCTATCCAACCCAAAAAAGAAAGAGAAATTTGACCTTACAGAGCATATTATTAATGAATGTTGCCTTACAGTTTTCTGCTTGAGAATTGGGTAAAATAGTGGTGAAGCAGAACTTCAGCCAGTTATTGCCTTGAAGCTCAACCAAGCCATCCTAAATTTAGAATAGATTAGTGAAATAAGAAAATTCCATTTAAGATTGAAGTTTACACCTATTGCAATTTTGGTTTATGCTACATAAACTGATTTTTAAATATCCTAATTAACCTAATTTTCTAATTATTAGCTCATTGCTTTAATGTGTTTACTAGTATTTACTAGTATATGCGTTTAGTGCAGTTACTAGTATATGCTCTGAAGCAGTGTTCCCCAACCAGTGTGCCGGTAGGCCTCTGTAGGTGTGCCGCGAAATTTTAAGTAGTTTAACAATTTTTGATCAAGAAAGAAACTTTTAATGAGAAAACGTCGAGCACAAATTTCCTACTAGAACTGAAACCAGGGTTTATTAAATATTTCTCACTCATTATTGGTAAATTCATAAAAAAATTTTATCAAGCTCAATGTTTTTTTATAATTTAAAACTTTCCACATAATGAACACTAAATAATGTACACATGTTAGATAACAAATGTGAGTTTTATATTTTTTACCTTGGTAAATCCACTTTTATATTATATACATATATATATATATACTAGTAAAAAATAAAAAAATAGGTTTTACGGAGTAAGATGTAATTGTAAAAAGAGTTTTTTATGCACTTACTAAATGTAATTTTTACCAACGATATTTTGTATACAAGTGTGCCGTGACTACAAACTTGTTCTAGTTAGTGTGCCCTGAACGGAAAAAGGTTGGGAAACACTGCTCTGGAGAATATCTCAGCTTCTAATCTCCTAAGTTCTAAATATTACAGTGTGTTACTAAACAAAATCTGATGTATATTTTAGTTTATTTTGACAAAATGAATGATTAAAGCATAGCATATAAAGTTATTCATTGTACGGTTGTGTGTCTGCAGGCAGTGAGAGGAAGGACGGTGGTGTTCGTTCTAAACGCTACTCCACTCAACACAGTCCGCCTATGAAGAGTTATCCACAAACACAGTGATTTTTATCTTAAGAAAATTAAATTACAGCTTTTTTTGTGTCACTGTAAGATGTTTTAATTTCTTTAAGTTGTTACAAAACATTGTATCTATTCATTTAGAATTATTTAAGGAGGTTCATTTTATGTTGAAGATTTTGTACTGTTAAAAGATTTTTTTTTTCAATATTTATGGAATAGAATCAGAAGCCTCATTCTTACGTAATGCAATTTAATGTATTTAGCCAGATTTTCATTGAGGTTATTTGCCTCCAGGTTTGCTAAATAGTGTTGAATATATGTGTAAAAAAAAGATGCGTTTTCTGTTATTATATTGTCCACATTATTTGTAATTTTAGCTCATATTGAAATAAATATGAAGTAATATATAACAAGATTTATTTATATAATCCTAAATAATATTCAAACCTTATATAGTGTTCTGTGAATCTTTCTTTTAAATCCCAATCAATCGAGAAGTTATGATTTAGAATAACATTAAATTCTCTAGAACCTTTCAGCAAAGCTAATCTGGTTTAACTTAGCCTACTCCTCTTCATTTTGAATACGCCAAAACTTCATTGAGTAGTCATTTATTCAGTGTTTAAACAATACATTATTGTAATTGACATCGTCATTATTATTGTAAAAGATATAAGATGCAATACTTATATAATTAATAAAATTAGACATGAAAAGTCCAAAATATAGGCTGCCCTTAGTAAAACATTTAACAAATTTTAAATAATTTTAAAATAGGCAAACTTAACAAACTTAAATTATGAATGACAGTGGGTCTTTCTTAAAAAAGGCTAATGGTTATCACAGGTGTAACAATGAACATAGGGGAACAAAATTTCTAACATTATCACAGATGGAATATGGTAAAAAATCATATCAAAATAAGTGAACATGAAATATATGAAAATTAATTACAGTAATGCAAAATCTTATGGTAAAATAATAGCCTAACTTAAAAACATTTAAAATTAGCATAAAATGAGATCACATTCGAAAAATTTCTCAATTTTGTAAAATGGGTGAGATGAAAGCCACATATTTAATTTTCTTTTAAATACACTTAACGGCAAGGACTTGACTTGAGGATGAAGCTTATTAAATAATTTAATACCTAAAATAAAATGACTGTTTGCAGTTTTCTGTAGTCTACAGTGAGGTACATCAACTAGACCCCTATTCCTTGTGTTATAACCATGAATATCTTGGCGCAAATCATACTTTTTCCTTTATCTTAACATTAAGCAGACAATGCAGGATAAAAACATTAATGCCAGTTAAAATGCCAGTGCCCACAAACAAAAGTTTACAATGTGCTCTTCGGCGAGATCTAGTTATGATTCTCACAGCCTTCTTTTGAATTAACAATATATTACAGTATTAACATGAGTGACAATTTTTTACGGGTCCCCCTGCAAACTTATTTTTTCGGCACCCCCTCTCATGAGTTATTTTCAGACCAAGATTGATACAACATAATCAAACGCCCTACCCCTCCCCCCAGAGTTATTTAGGACCACCGATACAATTATCAAACAGATTAATCATAAAAAGAGTGGTAAATAAATTATGAAAAAATATCAAATTAAAATATTAAACTATGAGTTATGTTCCATAAAAGGGTGTGTTAAGTGTTTTAGTTGTGGTTTGATGAGAGTGTTACATCACTACATTATAATATCAATATTAGTGTTTGTAGATAGGTTTGAAATCAAATAAAAAAACCTTATTTTCCATCCGTCTATCAGAATGTTTATATCAAGGAGGTTAAAAATTTTAAATTTAATTTATCACACATAGTATTAATTTTTATTACCCTGATAATTAGACTAATTCGTTAATTACAAGGCAAAAATGTGGTTTGAATTCCCCAACCCTCTTAGTTGCCTTTTGCTGTATTAATTGGCTATTAATTAGCATCTGTGTCTAAGGTATATGTCTGCCTTAGTCCCGTTCAAAACTAAAAGGTTGGTCCAGTCATCCTACACTCATCTCCATTAAGTCTTGGCTTAAAATACCTATATTGGTATGGTCCTCATTTCAAAGTAAAGTATTAAAGCCAATCAATCAATTATTTAAAATCGGAATGCCACTATGTGCGTATTTTAACCCAAATACGAGTGAAGGATGAGAAAGTATTAATTTATTAGGTTAGTTTAATCTTTGGTTATAATTAACTCATACAATAAAACCTGGTTAGTTTAATAGATTGACATACTTTTATCACAGGCTAAAATAGCCTATTGCACTTTTTTTATTTTATCTTTGTATGGATTTCAAGCGTCTTATTATGTTGTAAGCGTTTATCTTACAACAAATGTCTTTGATTGGTTAATTGTGAGGTAAAATAAGATATGGGCTAACAAACACAGTCAGTAGAGTAGCAGTATATTGTATTTAACAAAATAAAATCAACATTAGGACAAAACTAAAATGAAAAATAATACAATATTAAAAGCCCCAGCCAACGTTCATGACTCCATGCTCCGAAGTAACAAAATGTTGGCGGACGACATAAGCAGTGTACGAAATCACCGAAATCACTCGTCTCACGGGCCTCTCTGCTCACCAGTTTGCGGGCCCCCCCGCATTGCGGGCCCTACGGACCCCTCTGTTACGCCACTGACATGGGTACTATTTCCCCATAACAAAACACCATAACTTAAAATTGAGTGAAAAAAGCATAATACACAGACTTTAAGTAATTCTGAGGCAGACTAGAGCTAAGACATTTAAGAAGATAAATAAACCTAGACAACTTACCACTAATGAAATCAATGTGTTGAGACCAGGTCAAACAGTGTTGTCAATCACTAAACCTAAAATTTTTATATCATTTGGTTCATTGTAATCCTCGACTCTATTTCTAGTCTGACAGAGTAAGTGTTGAGTTATATTCTCATTAATAATCAAACTATTAGTACTAAACCATTGCTTGGCTTCTAAAATAGTATTTTTGGCAACATTAGACAAGCCATTTGTATCATTGCTTATCCTAAGAAAGGTTGTGTCGTCTGCTAACATTGTAGTTGAAGAAAGGGACACATTGGCAGGTAGGTCATTAATTGATAAAAGGAATAATAAAGGCCCCAAGTTAGAACCCTGTGGTACTCCCATTATTACATCCAGACATCTTGAACAATCACCCTTCAACTCAACAAACTGAGATCTTCCATGCAAGTATGATTCAAAAAACTTTAAACACAAACCTTTAACGCCGTAAAAATTTAATTTATCTAATAACACTGAGTGATCTACAAGATCGAATGCTTTGCTCAAATCACAAGCAGTAATCTGAGCAAAGCTCCCGTCTTCAAATGCTTTAATGATTTTGAACAACATCGACTCAATTGCATCTATTGTGGATAACTTTTTACGAAAACCAAATTGAGTCTAAGAATATTATTTCTTGCTAGGAAGAAACACATTTGGTTATAGATAATACGCTCCATAATTTTACCAAACAAAGGAACTAATGATAGAGGCCTGTAATTACATAACCTCAGATTTCTTGCCTTTTTTGAACACTGGAACTACCCGTGAAATCTTTTGGGATTCAGGAAAAACTCAATCGTTTAAGCAAACATTTACACAGTGAGTGAGTGGTACTAGGATTGCACTTATCACAGACTTTAACACCGCGTTTGACCCACCATAAGCATCTTTGCTTTTTGACATTTTTAGCTTTGACACCACACTTAACACTTCATCTTGAGAGAGAGGCAACCCAACTGGTTCAACGAGGCTTGCTGATGGTACTCCGTGTTATGTAGTAGGTCGCTAGAAGAGACAGGAGGTGGGATGATGGATGCCTTCGCTGACTGCACCGACTCCAAGAAGAAGTTGTTATGTTGCTCTGCCGAGATCAGGGCCTGATTAAGGGTCTAGTCTCCAGTAGGCTGACGTTTTTCACGCCCCCCTCCTCCCTACCACTACCCCTACTCTCTGCCACCACTTTCAAAATTTCAAAGTATGAATATTAATACTGAATCCAAAAATTAAAAATGGTCAAAGGCGTTATACTAATATTGTGTTTATTTAAAAACAAAAGAAAACTGATCATAAGTTAATGCATGGTTTGATTGATTAGGAACTTTTAAAATAGTAACAAATCGGTTGTTCAAGGAATGTAAAACTTTTTTATTTAAAATAATGTATTTATTTTACATTTTATTAAACATATGATTGTATTAAATCAAAAGTAGACCTAACCTAAATATAAAAAAAACCAAACAATAATATACGTACTTTCTAAATTAACTCTTTTAATCACCTAGGCCTAAAACAATTTTATTAGGGCCTTTAGATGGAATTACTTAGTTTACAGCATTTATCTGTATTTATCTGAAACAAAAAGTATCTCGAGTGAGTCAATTGCTCACTTTACTCACTAGTTGCACAAATATAATAGGTAATTTAGGGAAATTAAAGCAATTTTTTTGTGAAAAATTTTCATTAGTTTGTTAGACATTTAACAATAACTTGAGTTTCAAAAAACGTTTTGACAGTCTTTCCACATGTTTATTAAATCAAATAAAAAAAACAACTGATAAACTATCAGAGCTCTAAAATTTTAATTTAAAATGCACTTAACCCTTCCTGGACGGGTGACGGATATATCCGCCAAAGTCTTAGGCAATAAGGGATGGGTGGCGGATATATCCAATTATGGTTTGATGTTCCGGACAGGAAGCGGATATATCCGCCTTCTCTTCAGACAGTCTGGTAGGTGCTTGAGCAGTTACCAGATGTTTCGCGGTACCGAGGCGCCCCCGCTTTCCTGTTCTCTCCATGGTTGCGCTCTCTGCCGCACTCCCCCCTCTCTCCCACACCTACCCCTCTCCCATGTCACTCCCTCTCCCGCGCACCACCCACTTCTCCTACGCTCCCCCCTCGTCGTTTCGTGCTCAACACTACGTTGTCTTTATTTCTTGTTTACATATTGTTCTTTATTTATTGCCTAATGTTGTCATGTTTAAATCTTCAAAGATGGGTTGCGGATATATCCGCTGCTTTTTTACTCATCCGTGGATGGGTAGCGGTTATATCCGCATAGTTAAAAACGAGAAAAAATATATTGACAGTATGAAGTGTTCCATTGTTAATATGTATTTTTGTAAAACAAAACACAAAAAAGGAAGATTAATTTTTATTATTCCTATAATTGTTTCACGTTCTATGCCATGATTTCGCCCGTCTGGGAAGGGTTAAAATCATTTTTATTTATTTCTTTCTGCATTACAAACTAAAAATAATTATTCTAAATTACAATAATGATTGAACATACACATCGGCATAGTATGCAATTGTAATTTCTCATTCTTTGACAACATTACGTTGTATGACTCTATTATGTTTACACATAAAATAGAAGCTTCATAGGGAACTACTAGTTAGGTTTTATATTTTAACTGAAATGGCGACCATACGTATTTTAAGCCATGTATAAATGGAAATGTATAATTTTGGGTAGTGAGTCGGTGGCTCAGTCAGTAGCGTCGCAGATGTCCCAAGGCAGCGATGTTGTGGGTTCGGATCCTGGTCACTGCCACTAAAATTTATCAGTACAGTTCACCTTTGTACTGTACCGTCTCACTCCTTGCTTTGCTGTAAACAATCCACGCACGGGCGCTTAGCCTATGTGGACCGGCAAATGCAAGGTTAAAAGAGGCCGCCAACCTCTTTAAAAAAAAAAAAAAAAGTCATGAGTGGCACAAGTCTTGTTACTGACTAAGGCCAATATGTTCCTTAGACAGGACTGTTCCTTAGTCATGTATTTCTCTTATAGGCCCATATAGGCCTACTGCAAGTCCCATGCCTCATTTTAAATTAAAGTTTCCTAAAGGTTTCACTCGCTTAGCTTAGTCAAGAGGTGTTAAGTTAATGAGACACAAGACTGCTTAAGGGTGTTACTCAACGTGTAATGAACAAAACTAAAACTTAGAAAAACAACAAAAGTTACAAAATGTTACAACAGCAAAATAAAACTTTGAAAAGGCAAAAAACAACAATAGTAAGATAAATTAATTTACAACAGTAAATTACAACAAAAGAAAATCAATTGAAAAAATTAAAAGAATTAGTTACTGACAAATTATATGACTTGTTTGTTTTTACAAAACTTTAGTTATATATTTTATTCTTTTTACATACTGTTTATTGTCCCAGAAACACATGCACCGATACACACACTCCGAAACTCCTGATCTACTTGGTCCCGTGGCCCGTGGTGATCTCCCCAATTGTCCTCTTCAGGTCCTCCAGCTCCGAGACTCCTCACCCCACCATTGGCTAGCCCTTCTCATTGGCTGATTACCGATAGGGTGTTTGGCTTGTAGGTTAACGATGTTTCTTGGAAGTCAGCCCTACCGGTCATCGCCTAGCTCACATCAGCTGGGAAAGGAATTTGTAAATCGATGCTCATGCTACTGTTCAACTCTGTTCACACCAACTGGTCGACTAAGTGTAATGTGAAAAGGACGTCTGCTTAGATGAGTACCGTGGCTACGCGGCTAATCCCCTTTCTTACACCCTTCTGGTTAAAACACATCCTACCACCGGTTGACAATAAAAATAAAAAAACAACTTAAGGAGATACGCGGAAACATCAATCGCGATGGTGGGAATCGAACGGATATCTTGATGTGCGTTCCGACTCTTCTTCCCCCCTTCCTGCGACGCGACGAGATCTTGAGGATCGGCGCATTTGCTTGTTTCGCGACCCTTACAGCTACGCGGTAGAATGAGCTGGTGGTGTATAGCTCATAGTCGCTCACGTCTTCTTTCGCCCCTTCGAGTCTCCTTATGTTAGTTAATTGTTTCATTAGTTTTGAACTATTTAAATATTAGCTGTTTGTTAAGATATTTTTATTTATTTATTTTTTTATTATTATTATAAATTATTTGTATATGTTGAGGTTATTAATGATTTATTCTGGGTTACACTTTGTTATGTTAATAGTCCTTTTGAGGGGTTTGAGGTTTTGTGAGTAGATTTATTTTAATATTGAGTATGTGGATGAAATATGCTGAAATAATGAGTAAGATTGTTAATATTACTATCAAGACTAATGAGATGTGCATAATTACTCTTCTATCATCTAAGTTTGTTTGAATTTACGTTCGGTTTGAAGTAAGCTGTTGCAATGAAATACAAACTTGAAAGTCTTTTTCTCAATTACTGGAGACGTATGCAGTGGCACAGCAAGCAAGCTTTGGGCTGTAGACTGGCAGAAACAATTGAACATTACAATGCATGCAATAATACAATACAATGGGCTAAACTCTTCACTTAAAGTAAGTGGTCTTTTTCTAGATATCAAAAAAGCATTTGACACAGTTGATTTTAACATTCTGCTTTCAAAATTATACAATTGTGGAATAAGAGGGGTTGCTTATAATTGGTTTGAGAGCTACTTAATTGGACGAAAACAATGTGTCAAAGTAAATGGTAAATTTAGCGATCTGGGAGAAATTTTATATGGTGTTCCACAAGGTTCGGTTTTAGGGGCAATCCTCTTCCTAATTTATATTAATGACCTTTGTGATGCATCTTTCCATGGAAAACTAACTTCATTTGCTGACGACACAGCTCTGTGCTATGCCGGAGAATCATGGGAAGAAGTTAAAATGGCAATGGATACTGATTTAATGTCTCTAAAATGGTGGTTCACCCAAAATCATATGGTTCTCAGTACGGAAAAAACTAAGTATATCAATTTCAGTTTAAGAAAGTCTTTAAAAGATGAAGATCTTGTTATTTACAAATGTATTAAATGTCTATGTCAGCAAACCAAGTGTAATGATTTTTGTGCTCTAGTAGGAGAAGCTGTAGAAATAAAATATCTTGGCCTAACATTAGATAGTGAATTAAATTGGAAAAAGCATGTTTTTAATCTAAAAAACAAATTAAATAATGTGTTAAGAATTTTTTACTTTTTAAGGGAATTGTGTAATGAGGACATCTTGAAAAGACTTTATTTTTCTTTAGTCCAAAGTCGTTTAGAATATGGTTTGACTTGTTGGGGTGGAACGTACAAATCAAATATAAATTCTCTTTTGTTACAACAAAAACATTTTGTCAGATTAATTTTAAGAAAAGTAAAAACTGAAACTTCAAAACCATTGTTTTTCTCTTTAAAGATTTTTCCGCTAGAGTATCTATATGTATATAAGGTTTTAAAATATTTTTATAGTAAAAGTGGCAATCGTAACTTTTTTGGAACTTCATACCGAACAAAACTAAGAACTGGAAACAATTTTCCTGTCCCAAAACCAGTGAACACTTTCTTTACTAAAAGTTTTATTTTTATGGCACCAAGGATGTATAATTTGATACCAGATTATATAAAAAGTTCCTTTAATTCTACAGTTTTTTCAAAACGATTACAGAAATGGCTTTTTACGCAAACAAACATCAATTTTCTTACTACTATACAGGTTTAACACATTTCAATAAAATATTTTTTTAAATTTGTATAATTCATCAATTAAAAGTAGTACAGCAAGAAGTATATGTTTTAGAAAGTGCATTTATTTATTTTTAAGGCAGGAGTATATATTTTAAGTTAACATTTAATTTAAGTTAGCGTCTAAGAGCTGTTTTAGTTTTAAAATGTATGTATAAATGGAGCCTCCATTCAGGCTAGGCCTTGGAGGTCCTAAATTTTCCCAAAAGTAATATAATTTAGTTTGAACATGTAGATATATGGCTACTGTAATTAACTTGAAAATCAAATTTTGTTTTATATAGCTTATCAGTTATTATTTTTTTAAGTATGTTTCACATCCTTAGTATATTATAGGTCATGCCATGGCTAGTATTGTAATAAGTGATGTTGTAAACAATTTAATGTAAAAAAAATGGGAAAATAAATATCTTATTTCTTATTTCTTAAAAAAAAATAAAAAATAAATAAAAAAAACGTTTTTGCAGTAGTTTGTAAATTATTTTTACATATATTCTAGATTCAAATTACTCAGAAAAAGCCCATATAACGGTTAGTAAGAATTTATTGCACTTGTTGAATTACATAATTGATTTTATGATTTCAAAGTTAGTGCTCTTCCTTCTCCTCCTCGCACTTCTCCTCCTCACACCTCTCCTCCTCGCACTTCCCCTCCTCGAGAAGCATATAACCGGCTAACATCTCAACTTCTTCGAGACTTATGCCGGAAAAGGTCCGCAGGAACTCCTAAAATGAAATTAAGGATTATAAGTTCAATAGGAGAAAAAATTAAGATTGCTGGCCTGACCCTGCTTATAATTTGACAATGGAACACACCGAGGTCATATACCATTTACCCTGTTTGTAGCTTATAATTAATTCAAACATTTTCTTCCACTCAAAACATTTGCTGTTAGTTTCTGCTTCTGGTTATCCAACTATGGACTGCTATGCAGCTTAAGGACTGAGTCAACTCATTTAACTTATGATAATCCTTGCCCTACTGAAAAAAGCTGGACTATGAGATTTCTAAGTAAAAGGAAACAATGCAGTAAAATTTCCCTTCTTCAAACACCTTGGGACTACACCCTTGTGCGTGAGTAACGAACTCGTCAAACTATCATTGGCTTCAATAACAAAAATACTTAACACGCTTGCAATTCACAATCTCAGTCAAAATTACTTAAATGTTGTTTAGTTACTGTTTTTTTTCTGAGCCAGTGGCATTTTACGAGTCACAAGAGAATATATGTTTAGTGGATTTGCCGGGGATTGAACCCGTCCCTCCCGCACCGAAGTCCGAGACGCTAACCACTAGGCTAGCAACACAACCAGTGATGAGATGTGTGTTAAGATAAATGTTAAGCACGAGCGTCCATACATATGTTCATGGACATATGTACATATATGACTGGGATGGTGGCGACGTCCTGTAATTCAGCAACTCTTAGGTCATGAATTGTAGATATTTATAGACAATAATAGGTTTTTTACATACCTCAGTCAAATAGTCCAAAAATGGTATTGCTCAACAGCTTACATGTTTCGTTGCGAAGACAACATTATCAAAGCTTGCAACTCGTCAAAAACACATTTAAAACACGAACACGAACACAGAAGACATTAATACGGTACGAATACACAATTGACATTTAGATAGCGCTATCATAATACTGATTTGGTCCGGCGCGGCGCGGGGCTGGTAGCAGACTCATTGAAGTTAAACAAAATACCTGCTGGCACTCTCATCCCCAAATAGGAACGGCGTATGCTAAATGGTTATAAATGAGCCCATAGTATGCAGTTAGCAGTATCTCTAGATTTTCTTTGTTCTTAAGGTTTACGCAACACGAAAATACCAGAGCTAAGTTTCTTTGCAATGTATTTGATATGGTCATGAAAATTAAGTCTTTCATCTAAGATCAATCCAAGGAGCATGACATTCGGTGTTGGGTGAACTTCGGTTTTGTCAAGAAGGAGACTAAATCTACCATTTGATCGATTTGATAAACGGAAGTTAATGATTTGTGTTTTTTTCTGTGCTGATTTTCAATAAGCTATTCCCAAACCATTGAATTATACTGTTTGCTTCATTGGCAGAACTGGCAATGTGGGCTGCAGGGGCTGATTGCTTAGCTTCACGGAGACGAACTCGATACTCTCTTCTTTAGGGAAGAACACCCAGTCTACGTTTTGAAATCTCATGAACCAGGGGTGTATGGCTTTTAAAATCTTAAAGTTCACTCGTGTACCAGTTTTTGAGTATAAATATATTAGTTAAATAACATTAGGTTTATAAATATAAGAATAATATGTTCTAAAAGCTCTCAAAATTTCATGAGGATTAGATCAGTAGCTTTTTTGCTATAAAATGTGAAAGGTTGAGTTGAAACTGCATACAAAATTTTAAACCAACACACATAAACGCAGAAATAAATTTGTAAAATTATGATGTAACTTGAATTTTTCTAAGTCTACTGGTTACGTTGCAACACTCGAGTATCTATACTTTTTGACTCAATAGTAGAAACAAAGAGCGGTAGGGGCTTTGTCAGGGAATAGGAATTAACGTACATAGTTTTCTCTCTATGAGCTGTAGGTTGCTCTTTGGCTGTAAGAATGCATCATCTAATAATATTGATCAAATTTTGAGAAACGAAACACGAACATTATATTAAAGCTTGGGATTTCATGTATACTGCATAGGGCACTTTATAAATATTAAATGTTAAGTAAATTACGGAGTAGGCTATATTTTTTGTCCTAAAAGTGCATTAAATAATTGTAAGTATGTAATATGATACTTACTTCAGTTATGTTAATGTTGTTTGGAAATATAAGTAACTTAATTTTACTTTCAATTATTTTTTTTTAGTAATATATTTTTTAAATAATTAACTTTAAAATTCCTCTACATAATAAATTATATTTCTTTGAGTAATCTTTCTCTAATTAGATAGAACATGTCTGTAGGATGTTGTGTGTATTGAAATAGTATCCAGGAAGTGTGGAAGTAAGGAGAAGTGTCATTGTTGGTTTTGTTTCGCTTGTACCTTTCCAAACTCATCGACAATTTTTCTTGTGACTTCTTCTGGGTAGAAGTCGCTCAGGTACTTGAATGCAGCTTCCTTCAAGATTGACAGGTCCTCGTTGTCACTGAGCACAAAGTTGTTTGTTTTAAAACCCTTTTTCACAATGAGGTTCAACTTTGTGCCTTCTTTAATCGCAGGGTAGTCACTGAGTAATTTTTCATCTAGAAAAAAATTATGGTTTGATAAATAATTTTAGCTTTTAAAGAGTTTTGAAATGTACAATTAATAGATCAAATTTTCCAAAAAAAATGAGTTTGAATTATTATAAATTTGAAGTTTAAATAAACTATGTGTTTGACAATTTTCAAATTTCATATTACTCTTATCTTGTTAATCTAATCACAGAGAATCGGTACAGAGGGAACTTGCTTATGGGAAGACTAGCGCTTTCACCTCTTGTATGCTGTACCGGAAATATTCTTGTGATGAGCAAAAAAGATCCTGATCATTAAACACTGTGTAAAAATTCCTATAGCACAGGTCACAATAAGGTCTTCCTCCACCGTGAGTGTTGGAGTTTGTCTAGGGCAACCTGAAAGGTGTAAGTCCTGGGCAGTCCTACTTTATGAAGTGAACTGCCTCCACTATTGTATTGAAGTAGAAACAGTTAAGTTGTTATAGTCCTCGCCACCCTAAGTTGAGGCAGCCAAAGGCCGCACTAAATATACGCTGTGTGGCCTTGTGCTGCCTCAACTTAGTGTGGCGAGGACTATAAACACAGAACATCATATACAGTGGCATATCCAGGAGGGTTTAGGGGTTTAACCCCCCCCCCCCTTGACCTTAAAAAGTGATATTTTTACAATTGAAAATGTTGATCCATAATAAAAATTCTCTTTTATATATCTCTAAATAGCCTAACACATGAGTTTACATACGTTAGTTTAATTTTCAAAAGTTCCCCCCAGGGGCTTCCTAGTTACGTCTATGATCATGTAACTTATGAGCAGGAAATACATTTAAAAAAAATGTATTTTGTCCCGCCCTTGTGAATGCAATAACATTTTATAAGGAACAACTACTCCTTCAATTTCAAACACAGTAGGCCCACAAGCTTTGTTGGTTTGCCGGTATCAAACCTGCGCATATAATATAGAGCAAGCTTAGAGCTACACTCTTCTGTGCGTTAGTTCTGTCTGTGTGTGTGCGTTAGTAGGCTAAATTCAGCCACCATGTCACCATCATCTGTAAAAGCCACTACAGCCCTCACTAAATGCAACACCCGCACTCACAAGTGAAATTCAACAAATTGTTTAACGGCGTTTGCCAGTCGGTTAACGGCAAGGCTACTACACAAGGAAATGTGAAGATGTACTAGAATTTAAAACCTAAAATGTTTAAGATTTGATGCCCTTCAGTTGATCCACGAGGATAAAAAGTGTAAGAGACTATTAATTAAATATATGTTAACATATATTTAAAGCTATATTGCCATTAAAGAACTTTTTAAATGTTTCTCTCTAGTAACTAACCCACCTGAGAGGGGTCTCCCAATGATCAACAACTTCTGCTGGTCTGCAGGCACTCCCAGCAATACTTCCATCTGTTCCTTCACCTCTGATACACGTGTCTGGTCATCTACCTACAACATTGAACTGTCAATATACAATGTTATACTATATCACTTAGGTAAATCCTTATTAATACTCACTAATTGATGATCAAAGTCAAGTGAAAATACACCCGCCCCAGCAAACATGCAGACTAAGGCCGGGGCCATCATTCAATATACAGTTCTGACTTACGATGAATCTTCTGATAAATTTCCAATCCTTACAAAATCAGCCTAGGCTAACTAGGTGAATGGTTTAAGTTGATCATTCAAGTTTCTCAATGCTTTGATGTAATGTATATAACTAAGGCTATACAAATAAAACACAATATTAGTAAGGTATCAAAGCCTAGGTTGGTCCTAGCTTGGTATAACTTTGTTGACCCTACCACTTAAATCAATTGTCATATATTTCCTATACTAAGTTAGGTGTAATCTATATCTTAGTGATAATTTGACTACAATTATTTATTGGAGTTTATTGAACGAATAATGATTACACATGCAGTTTGCCTGTTGCTATTCAATTATATTATGATTGGATTAAATTACTGGAGTTGTTACTGGTATCTCGATTTGTAGGCTACACCTTAATCCTATGTCTAGTTAGGGCTAACTTATGTTTGATCATTAGGCTATCTGAGACTAAGTTAATAATTATCAAAAGTTTAAGTTGGTAAACTTTAACCCTTTCGATATTAGAATTTTTTTATGATTATCAAAAAAATGCTAAGAGTTATTTTTTAGCTACCGGTACTTATTTTGCTTGAAAGGCGAGGCTTGCCACAGAAGCCAAGTCTAGTGTAAAAGAGAAAAAATTGATAAAATAAAATTGTTGATCTCAAAAGTGATAAAGAATGATATATCAGGCCTTGATCGTATGAGGAATCGAAAGAAACCATCGCTGTTTCAACCGATAGCCCATTTAAACTCACACGGTTGAAATTCGCCCCGGAACGAATGTCGCTTAGCACTGTTTGGATGGAAAGGGAACAACGATATATCGTTCCATAGTCCTTTTCGGTAAAAATAAGCACAACGCCATATTATCACATAGCCTAGCACTGTGAGTGTTAACATAGGCCTAATTAGTCATGAGCTGATATCCTAAGATTGGGCCTTTGAAGCCAGTGACTTTGGTTCAATAATTTTTGTAACTTAAAAATCTGGTATTAAAGTTTCTTTCTTGCTTATCAAATCATCACTGTGGTCTAAGGACTACCTCTAGAGTGTACAGCTGTCCTTGAAAAACTTTTATTTTTATCTTCATGACTAGTATAAAGAAGTGTTGATTAACTTGTTAACTGTTCTATCTCAGGAAAAAATCTTGATAAACTAAAATCAAACTGCAACTTAAAAGCTCTAGTAGGGTACTGGTAGTGGTAGCGTTTTGTTTGTGGTGACTAGACTAGTTTAGTTAGTAAACATTAAACAAACAAAACCAAAAGGAAGCACATCAAAACAAACTAAAAGTTAATTATTTTTAGGATTGCTTGGTTTCATACCATGAAGCCATGGTGTTAGCCAGTCTCATTTCTGTGCATTGATTCTGGATTAGGGCATGGCCGCCTTTTACTCTAGGCCGCGGCCTTCGAAGTGGCAACGACGCAAGTAGGGTTGTAACACGGCCACATTTAACTACAGGCCGCGGCCTAGTAGAATTGGCAACGTCGCAAGTGGTGTTGTTTAGCGACAGACGTCTCAGAAGATAATATGGCAGACAGGTGACATCAGCTCATTAATTCGCAATTACTGTAATAGATTTAAATTTAAATAAATGAACACAAATTTATTAAAATATTGAAAATAAAACATACAGATTGAAAACCGAAACAATATAAATAAAAAATCTAGATCTGTACATTTTAAGTGGAGTCAATACTGTCATAGTCCAGTAACCAATCTTTCGTTGATACACAAATACCATTAGCTTATTCCAAAAACAAAACAGCTGTTATAACACTACTTGCGACGTTGCCACTTCGAAGGCCGCGGACTGGATTTAAAGGCGACCGTTGTTAGTTACATAGTTTTTTTCGTACCGTTCGTGTGTTATTCGGTGTTTTCAAAAATTGACGACCTTCACGTGAGGAAAATGTTTTAACTTTTTGACCTTCACCTGAAGATGAGCTCCACGAGCACGAAACTGCAGTAGTGACAAACTACGCAAGGACCATATTGACAGAGGTAAATTAAACCATTATTATTGCACTTGTTCTAGTTGTGGAGACTGGAGTGGTTTCTTGTTTGTTTTTTTAAATCAACGAACAGAAGAAAAATAACCTTTTTGCGGCAAAAAAATAAGGAAGATAAGAATTATGGATGAAACAAAATGCTAAAAGACAAAATTAATACTGAGGATCTAATTTGTGACTTCACCAATCAACCTGACCACGATCCTGGTGACCAAAATTTTGTAAATATTTTTGATCGACACTTTGCAACACATTCTAAATTCAAATAGAATATTAATAAGGCCTCATGAATTTTTGTCCAGCCTGCTTTCAAGCACGGCCGCCTTTAACTCCAGGCCACTTCCTTCGAACTGGCAACGTCGCAAGTGGTGTTATAAAAACTGTTTTGTTTCTGGAATAAGCTAATGGTATTTGTGTATTTACGAAAGATTGGTTACTGGACTATGACAATATTGACTGTGCTTAAAAATGTACCTACAGATATAGATTTTAATTCATATTGTTTTGGTTTTCAATTCTATGTTTTATTTTCAATATTTTGATAAATTTATGTTCATAAATTTAAATTCAAACCAATAAAGTGCGAATTAATGAGCTGGTGTCACCTGTCTGCCATGTTATCTTATGGGACGTATGTCACTGAACAACACCATTTGCGATGTTGCCAATTCTACCAGGCCGCGGCCTGTAGTTAAAGATGGCCGTGTTACAACCCTACTTGCGTCCTTGCCACTTCGAAGGCCGCGGCCTAGAGTAAAAGGCGGCCATGCCCTAATCCAGAATCAATGCACAGAAATGAGACTGGCTAACACCATGGCTTCATGGTATGAAACCAAGCAATCCTAAAAATAATTAACTTTTAGTTTGTTTTGATGTGCTTCCTCGTGTTTGCTCTCAATGCTCTGTTCTGTTTGTGTTTTGATTGAAAAACAAACCAATTTGTTTAGGCTATTAGACTTCATATTTTTACGTAAGTTAATTAAGCTAATTATGTTTCTACTTATTCATCACAGTTTACAGTACTACAGGTAACTTAGTGATGGAACAACCGATTGAATTTAACAACCGATTGATCAATCGGTTGTTTTTCTGTTCAGTCGGTTTTTTCAGTTGAATGAAACACCGAATGAAAACAGTTGCATACATACTAGTGATGTGACGAGTCGAGTACTTTCCCTACTCGAGTCAATTCGACTCGATACCACAACTACTCGAGTCGGTACTCGAGTACTGGACTCGGTTCTTACCTGTATAGCACCGAAGCTCTGTTGACTCGTAGCTGCCGTGCGAATACTGGAAATGGAACTTGTTTGACTCGGACTCGAGTCCCTTTACTCGAGTCGGACAGACATGGCTCGGACTCGTTTTATACTCTGCGTAGATTTAAGATGAGAGCGAGATAGGTTATTTATCTCACATTGAGTTGATAATTAATTATGGATTTTATTCGTTATTATAAAACTTAGATTAATAACAAACAGTGTCTTGACTCGAGTAAGCAAATTACTCGAGCGCTATGTATTTGTAGCGGATAGTTTTCAAACTATATCTTGAACATTCAGCAGTGTATTAATACGAACTGTCAGTGTCAAGCTAAGCACACAAGCGCTGTCGACTCGTAGTGGCAAAATCTGGAACAACATCCGAATCCGAGTCTCGACTCGAGTAGACATGCACCCAACCCAAGCGCTATAGACTCGTAGCGGCGGATCTAGTAAGCTTTAGTTCACGAGTAATAGTACTCGAGTATTGCCGATTTGGTATCGAGTCGACTCGATACTCAACGAGTCAAGTACTCGACTCGTCACATCACTAATACATACTATTCGGACTGATGACTGTTTCCAGTCTCTTTAAACACCAAATGCCAAATGAAACCAGTTGAAAGCATAGTATTAGACTATTAGACTAAATTAATGTTTTCCAGTTCAAACGGTTTTCAATCGTATAAAATAAACTACTATTGTTCTTATGCCTTTTTCCAGTCTATGTTCAACTGATTTCAGTCTTAAAACTGAATTCAGTCGTTCAAAAGTTCAACCGATTGTAAAAACTACAACCGATTGAATCGGTTTTTTAACAACAATCGATTGAATGGGTTGTTTTCAATCGGTTGTTCCCATCACTAACTACAGGACCAAAAAAAAAGAATAATGAACCGTAAGAATCTCCGGAGGCTAACGGGCAACGGCTACAAGCCTGCAATCATGAGAGCAACGTTCATTTAAAACATCCCCTGAAAAGTTAGTTTTTTAGGCTACCATTCCAAAATATTTTGTAAATTAAATATCTAACTTAGGGTGCTAAGATAGGCCCATGATAAACTTTGTTTGTAGTTTTGTAATTTTTTTTTAGTTAGTTAGGCCTAATACGGCTAACGGGTTATAAGTAAATTCACGGGCATCTCCCGTGATACGGGACCCCGCCGTAAGAAGAGCGATATTAATTTCAAACAACCATTGAAGAGTTAACTTATTTACCATCCAAACATATTTTATAAACACCAAAGTAATTGTTAATTTAAATATACATACCTAGTAGAGTAGGGGCCTACTAGAAGAGAAATTTTGTTTGAAACTAATTTTTAATTAACTGCTTGATGATGAGTTAACACAGCTCTCGGCTCCAAGGACTCTTACTCTTGGCTGGCCTAAAAGGAAATTTATTAAATACTTTGGAAGAGTTTGATTGAAATGTATATATACATAAAACTAGGGACAGCACACAATTGATTTTTGAGTGAAAACACTCAATTAGTTATGATTTATGAATCCCATTATGTTTTCAACCGGCTTCTCAGTCACTACAATAGTCCAATATCAGCTGTTTAAAACGCAGACGACAATCAAGACACCTCCTCGGTCCGTCATAACATAACCTGAACCGAACCTGATTCAGTTCAGTTTACTTCCAGTCCTGCCGAAGTCAATGTGCGCGTGTGAATTGATAGGCCTATCTGTAATTGTTTCGTGTTTTGTGTTAAATGTTTGTAACGTTTTCTGACGACAACTCCAGATGTGGATCTTTTTATAAGCCTGACGATGGTGGTGTTAAAGAACAAAGAACCACCAAAATATATGTAGCAAGTAAAATTTGACACTACTATATTAAGGATTGTCTGACAAGGTGCGTTTTTGCCATTCTTAGAAGCAATCTTAATTACAAATGGCAAAATTTGTTAGTGTTGATAGTCACAGCTACTTAGAAACACTTTTTTGGGCTGCTTATACAAAATTATACATTCATTATCACAGCTAGCAAAAAAATATCCCCCCCCAAATCCCCTAAGTACCTAAGTAGCCTAAGTACAGTAGTCGCAGCTAGTCTGGGCGTACAGACCCTTGTGTACTAACCGTTCAACAAGCCAAAGCCATGAAGACAGCGCTGAGGCGCTGAACAACCCCAGAGAGCCGTGTGGGCCAGATGTTTTTGGAAGTGAGCAATAAACACTCCCCTCTACACTCCCCGCCCTAGCGCAGCCGCGCGCCCAGACTAGCTGCGACTACTTTAACTTAGGCCTGATTTAGGCCTACTTAAATTTAGATTATACGTTACTATAGGCCATTTTTTTTTTTTGTAATGGACCCTCGTTCACATTCTCTAAAAAAAAAGAATAAAAAATGGGAAATAGAGCCAGCGCCTTATTCCTTATCAAAGTGTAGAACAAGTTAAATTATACTATATTCCCAATCATTCCTTTATTTAAATTATGCATTTAAGTTGTGACTAATTTTGCTTGACACAATATTACTATCATGTATTTATGAAAACTACGATTTAATAATTTGTTGATTTCACAACACCAAAATTTCTGTCACATTTTATGGCGAACAGAATAGGGTCATATATTGTACGACGATATTATAATCAATTTTGTCTCATAACCCAAAACTCTGTCACAATATATAAAATAAATGTTATTCATTGAGACCTGTGGTTGGATAAGGTAATTCTTCCATTTTATCAATAAAATATTTGTCTTTTATCACAATTAGTTTGACTAAAAATAATACGATTTTGATGAAACTTTGTACAAGCATGTAATCCTACATTTATTTGAAGAAGTTTGCGAACTGGCATGAACAGACCAAGGGATTTTAATAGGGGTTTTATGGAGTGAAAATTGGGATTTCCCATTTTTCACACTGAAAACGTTAAATTTTATTATTTCT